TAGGGTTTAGGGTTTAGGGATATAACTCCAGGTAAAACTGCATTGATAAGCCCCAGAAGTCCTCCAAGTAGGTTCTGAGACGACTTACGATTGGGGTTAAACCTTCTTGTTGAATAGGACTTAAACCACAAGGGTTTAGGGTTTCGGGTTTAGGGCTCCCTTTCCCAGATCTTCCATCACTGGACTTATAACCCCAGTTATAACTGTACTTATAAGGCCCCTGAGTCCTCTAAGTAGGTCATACGTCGACTTGTGATTGCTGTTAAAGCTGCTTGTTTAATATGCCTTAACAAGGGTTTAGGGTTAGGGGTCCGCTTCCCAGATCTTGAACACAACTTCCGGTTGAAGCAATCTTCACCATTTACTTCTGGCACCTAAACCCCAAACTGTAAAACCTAAACCCTAGACCCGAAGAGAGTCATCCTAAAGACGGTCTTCGGTAGACTTGGAAGGGAACTCCACAAACAGCGCCCACCCACGCTTCGCAAGTAGCTTTCATGCACCCCCCCCCCCCCCCCCCCCTCAAAACATCGCGCGCGCGAAGCTGGAAAGTCCTGAGGTGCTAGTTTAGGGTTTAGGGTTTAGGGTTTAGGGTTTAGGGTTTAGGGTTTAGGGTTTAGGGTTTAGGGTTTAGGGTTTAGGGCATCCAGGGGTGTTGGGCGTTCATGTGACTATTTCCAAGATCGCAGAACTAAGAACGGCGATGTCGCTTGTTCCAACTCACTCGTTGATTGGGGAAATGACACGTGTCGAAAGCAAGAAGCTACTGAGACTAACAACGAAACGAAACGGGACTTTGTACGCAAGTACAGCAGCTTGCCCAACACCAACAAGCACTTGGGAGGCCAATTGTAAGATACTTAGGGTTTGAAGGGTTTAGGGCTTTGGGTTGCGAGGTGGGGCTGTAGCTCAACCCCCCGAAGCCCTGACAGAACCCGTGATCGCACCTCCGTGCCCGAAGTTTGCTGATGCTCCTTGGCCAAGATACTATAGGGGTCGGATTCAGTACTGATAGTATTTCCTTCTGGTTGCTTTTTTAGAACCATTACTGATAGTAATTCCTATTGGTTCCTTTACAACTCTACTATAGCAATCCCCAAAAACCGATTCTAATGATTTAGGCCCCCTGTAGTACACGAAAGGAATCCGACGTTACTTGAGTTTTGTTTGAAAAAAATCAGGGGTTTCCGAAGACGCCCAAAGGATGTCAACCCCCCTTGGCCAGGGAATGCTCCATAGCCTGCGATGGGGCTGCAAAATTTTACCGCTTTTAGGGCGTGTTTTTTTTGAATGTTTTACAAAACATTCAAAATATAACATTGTTTTATAAAACATTGTTTTATAAAACAAAACCATCTCCTGAACACTCCCTTGCTTGCGGGATGCCGGGAGTCTGTTGGTTGCTCCTTGCGGTTTGGGGGCTTGGGCTGGGGATCCCTACCCAGACCGTTTGCTGCTTCTTGCAGGAAATCCCGGAAACCCTGCCTGGCTTCATGGACCTTGAGCAAGCCTCTCAACCTACAGGAGGAAGAGCTGCAAACCCTCAACCCTAAATCCTAAACCCGAAACCCCAACCGTAACTAGACCCAGGGAACCTGGACCCTAAACAAAGGGGAATAAGTGGGCCTACTCTGGGTCTTAGGTATTTGCCAGGCTCGCAAAAAGCCTTTATGGCCATTCAATCCCCCTGACAACCATTCCTGAACCACAAAACCCTCCTCCACAGCCCCTACAATATGGTGCTGCCTAGTTCTGAGTTTCAGGGCCAAATCTGGATCAGCTTAGGCTTTAGGGCCAGGGATAGTCAACTAAGTTGAAGACAAGAAACCACACGGAAACCCTAAATCGTAAACCCTAAACCCTAAACCCTAAACCCTACACCCTAAACCCTAAACCCTCTCGAGTCTCCGGGATTTCGGGGTGCAAGCTGGAAGGCTTTCGCGGCCCAGTAAGCCCCAACTCCTCCACCGCCCCAGTACCTACGGGGTGTACGCCCAGGTTGAGGGGTTTATTTTAGGGTTTTCGGGCTCTAAACCCAAATGCCTAAACCCTAAACCCTAAACCCTAAACCCTAAACCCTAAACCCTAAACCCTAAACCCTAAACCCTAAACCCTAAACCCTAAACCCTAAACCCCTAAACCCCCAAACCCCCAAACCCCCAAACCCCCAAAAAACTCCGCGGGCGGCTTGGGCCCGCACGTTGGCTTCCTCGCGCGCGAGGGCCTCGCGCAGCCTGGCTGCAAGAATCTTGCCCAGGGAACCCCTAATATAGGTTTAGGGTTTAGGGTTCAGGGTTTAGGGTTCAGGGTTCAGGGTTTAGGGTTTATGGTTTAGGGTTTAGGGTTTAGGGTTTAGGGTTCAGGGTTCAGGGTTCGGATTTAGGGTTTAGGGGGTTCGGGTTTCTTCGGGTGTTCAGGGGCTTCCGTTGGGGGCTTTGAAGGGCGCCTTTTAGGGTGTTTTGGGGGGCTTGTGGCTTCTTAAGTTCTGCTTTATTCGGGCAGTAGGGTTAGGGTTTAAGGTTTGTGGTTTAGGGTTAGGGTTTAGGGAGCCTACTCGCCCGGACAGCGACATTCGACGCCAACCAGAAGGTTCATAGGGTTCTGCATTGTAGTGTGTAAGGTTTAGGGCCTGTAGCTAACCCCTAAGCTCTGACCTCCGGCCCCTGCGCCTTAAACCCTCTAAACCCTACAAGCCTCAAACCCTGCAACCGCTCTTTTCAAACCCGATACCCCAACGCCTACAACCCTAAACCCTAAACCATATACTCCAATACCCTAAGCCCTATAGCCCTATAACCCTGTAAGCCCTGAGCCCTAGGCTCTAGGCCCTAGGCCCTAAGCCCTAAGCCCTAAGCCTTGAGCCCTGAGCCCTAAGCCCTAAGCCCTAAACCGTAAACCCTAAACCTTAAACCTTGAGCGCAGGCACGCTTGTTTTTGACCTGGGGCCCGAGCTGGGAATTTCTCAAAGTGAGGAAATCAGCGCACTCGCATAGGGTTTGGGGTTAGGGTTTAGGGTGTAGGCTTTAGGGTTTAGGGTTTGGGGTTTAGGGTTTACTGTTTCAAGCTCAGGTCACGTCTAAGAGACTTCAGATTACCAGGCTACGCCTTTTTGGTCTTAGGGTTTGGAGCTTGAGTGGCATTAGGGATGGTTTACCCGACACCCTAAACCCTCAAGCCCTCAAGCCCTCAAACGCTCAAACTCTCAAACCCTAAACCGTAAACCGCAAACCCTAAACCCTGAACCCTAAACCCTAAACCCTAAACCCTAAACCTAAACCCTCAACCTTTTGAGGCATGGAGCCTTGAGCTGTGGGGTTTTTTGGGGTGCAGATCTTGCCAAGCACTACGGTAGGCTGCGCAGCAAGCTAGAAATATGAATTTCAGAAAGTGAATACGAGGGTACTACCGGAACCCTAAACCCTAAACCCTAAACCCCAAACCCCAAACCCCAAACCCCAAACCCTAAACCCTAAACCCTAAACCCTGAACCCTGAACCCTAAACCGATGCACCAGGAAAAATCCTAGGGAGTAAGTCATGATGAGGAGCCGTGGCTACTCATGCTCGTGATGGCTCTCTGGGGAGGGGCAGTTCCAGGAATTTAATCAAGGTGACCGGGTTTAGGGTTTAAAGGGCTTTAGGGTTTAGGGGGTTTAGGGGGTTTAGGGGGTTTAGGGGGTTTAGGGGGTTTAGGGGGTTTAGGGGGTTTAGGGGGTTTAGGGGGGTTTAGGGGGTTTAGGGGGTTTAGGGGGTTTAGGGTGTTTAGGGGGTTTAGGGAGTTTGGCGTTCTGGGCTGTATACCAAATACCAGGAAGGGTGCACCTGCGCGATCCCTCACTTTGCGAAGAGACCCAAACGGCCCGCCGCGCGTGAGAAAGCAACATGTGAGGAGGTGCCATGCTCCATCGCCGAACGGGCTGAGGATAAACAATATGCCGCGGTTTAAGGCCTAGCGTGTAGGGTTTAGGGTTTAGGGTTTAGGATTTAGGGTTTGGGGTTTAGGGTTTAGGGTTTGGGGTTTAGGGTTTAGGGCCTAAGCTTCCTAAACCCCTAATCCCTAAAACTCTTACACGTTGAAACCACCTCCGTTTCCTGTTGCGGATAGTTCCATTCTACCTCCCCACGCCTCGTCTTCCCTCCTCCGCCCCATCGCTGAAATCGGACACTAAGATGCCCTGCCTAGCATGGGGCTAAAGATTCTGAAATGGCGGAGGTTCCTCAACCTTGTTACTTTGCACCATGCAATTTGCCTTTGTCAAAGGGATCCTCACCTCAACCCTACAAAACAAGGGGAACAAGGGAAAACCCTAGTAGTTAGTGCGCAGCAGCCTGTCTGGGGCAAACAAGCCGAGACAGGACGGACTTCCACCCCCAAAGAACTGAAGATTGCGTTTGCAGGCGGCCGAATCAGTTCCTGAAAAAGCCTCAACCCTAAACCCTAAACCCTAAACCCTAAACAACACGGAAATGAACCCTGCGGCTTGGAGATCTTCACTCGTTCCACAACAGTGGCGGCCCTCCTCCACTGGCCTGTAGACTCTAGGGCTTTGTGAGCTGAGCTTTAGTCCCTATACCTTAAGCTTCAAGTAGAACCTTAAAGTGACAGCTACAAACCCCTCCCTAAACCCTAAACCCTAAACCCTAAACCCTAAACCCTAAACCCTACACCCTAAACCCTAAACCCTAGACAACCCTTCATCTAAATCCTAAGGTTTAGGCGTTTTGGGGCTTGGTGTGCAGGGAACACCTAGATGTGGCTCTTGAAGGCTTCCTTCGCCTATAACCCCTAAACCCTAAACCCTAAACCCTAAACCCCACAATCTTGAAGCCTCGAGCATTCGAAGGCAGATCATCGGGTTTCGAAGGCTCTTGAGGTGCCCTAAACCCTAAACCCTAAACCCTAAACCCTAAACCCTAAACCCTAAACCCTAAACCCTAAACCCTAAACCCTAAACCCTACGACATAGGGTTTCGAAGGCTCTTGAGGTGCTGAGGCGCAGCTCAGTCGTGCTCTTCCAGTCGCCTCCGCCAGTCTTGGTCCCGCTCCTCAGGTTTGGGGTTTAGGGTTTAGGGTTTAGGGTTTGGGGTTTAGGGTTTAGGGTTTAGGGTTTAGGGTTTAGGGTTTAGGGTTTAGGGTTTGGGGTTTAGGGTTTGGGGTTTAGGGTTTAGGGTTTTTAGGTTTGGGGTTTAGGGTTGGGGTTTAGGGTTTTAGGGTTTTTTGGGGTTTAGGGTTTGGGTTTGGGGTTTAGGGTTTGGGGTTTAGGGTTTGGGGTTTAGGGTTTAGGGTTTGGGGTTTAGGGTTTGGGGTTTGGGGTTTAGGGTTTAGGGTTTCGGGTTTCGGGTTTAGGGTTTAGGGTTTGGGGCTTAGGGTTTGGGGTTTAGGGTTTGGGGCTTAGGGTTTAGGGTTTGGGGTTTAGGGCTTGGGGTTTAGGGCGTGCGTTTTAGGTTTAGGGTTGGGGGTTTAGGGTTTGGGGTTCAGGGTTTATAGTTGGGGGTTTGGGGGGCTTGGGGCTCAAGTAGGCCTAGGGCTCCAAAAAACTGTGAATAACTCCTGAACCCGAAATTCAAGACCTCGAGATGTTTGAGGGTTAAAGGTGAAGGGTTAAGAGTGTAAGGTCGAAACGTTTAACCCTAAACCCTAAACCTAAACATTAGGAAACCCTAAGCCCTAAGCCCTAAGCCCCAAACCCTAAACCCTAAACCCTAAACCCCAAACCCTTGTAGGAGTGTAGAGTTGAGGTTTTTGTCTCCAGGCGGCCAATGCTGCAGCGTCGTCCTCGGCCAGCATCCCCGGGAGTCGGCTCTGCTCTTCCTCAAGAGGAAAGGGGCAAGGCGTAAGTTTAGGGTTTAGGGTTTAGGGTTTAGGGTTTAGGGTTTGGGGTTTGGGGTTTGGGGTTTCGGGTTTAGGGTTTAGGGTTTAGGGTTTGGGGTTTGGGGTTTGGGGTTTGGGGTTGGGGTTTGGGTTTGGGGGGTTTGGGGGGTTTAGGGTTTAGGGTTTAGGGGGGTTTAGGGGGGTTTGGGGTTTGGGGTTTGGGGGGTTGGGGGTTTGGGGTTGGGGGTTTGGGGTTTGGGGTTTGGGGTTTGGGGTTTGGGGTTTGGGGTTTGGGGTTTGGGGTTTGGGGTTTGGGGTTTGGGGTTTGGGGTTTGGGGTTTGGGGTTTGGGGTTTGGGGTTTGGGGTTTGGGGAGGGTCTGGCAATATCCTTCTGCAAAACCCTAAACCTAAACCCTGAACCCTGAACTTTGAACCCTGAGCCCTGAACCCTAAACCCTAAACCCTAAACCCCCTGGGTTCGGTCCCAGGTGGCCTTCTTGGCCACGAGCTGCTCCATGTACTCGCTGAAGTCGGGGGAGACCTGCGGGCCGCAGGGAAGGCTTTGGGTTTAGGGTTTAGGGTTTAGGGTTTAGGGTTTAGGGTTTAGGGTTCAGGGTTCAGGGTTTAGGGTTTAGGGATTTGGGGTCCAGGGTTTAGGGTTTGGGGTTTAGGAGGTTTAGGAGCTTTTGGAAGGATGCTTCGGGCTTTTAAAGTTTATTCCCTCCCAGTAGTCGTGACCTGCACGTGCGTTTAAACATACGGAAAAATAATGCAAAAATCGAAAGGAACATATATTGGTTATGTATGGTTTATTGAGTTTATTGTTATCTTGGAATTTTCCACCGATTTTCCACCGCGTAAAAGGAGGTACGCTTCCCTAATCACTGGGGGCATCCGCCTCGCTAGGTCTTCGACCGAATGCTTCTAGAGCCAACCTCGTACTTCCGCGCGAAGTACTTGCGACTCAGGGCGAAGACCTTCACACGGTTTAGGGTTTAGGGTTTAGGGTTTAGGGTTTAGGGTTTAGGGTTTAGGGTTTAGGGCCACAGGGTCACTCCTCTACATCATGGTCCCTGTTGGGGGTTACCACTCTAAGGCGACCGCTAAGACTTCAGGGTACCATCATGTGGAGAACTGACCATATGAGTTCGGGGTTGAAGGTTCGGGGTTTAGGGATCAGCTAGCCATATACTTCAGCCTCGGTAAGAGACATTGTTCTCTTGGCTTCTGTTCCTGAGTCTAGCGCTGCATGATGCAGGGCCAAAAAAAATCATCTGGATGTTTGCATGCTGCCTGTGAAAGGCTCCGCTGTGATTTCTTAGACAATCTGCTAGTGTGGAGCACTTTCGGGCTGTTACTTCGAACCCGAAATAACAGAGGAATAGCTACTGCCATGGTCTTGTTCTCTGAGCCCCTGGGCCCCCTGCCGCCGTTTTTCCAACCCAGCTCAGCTCTGCCAAACTTCGTTACGATGAGGAAAAATGATATTCCAAAACCGGGCCAGAGCTGATGCTCGTGATGTTCGCTGGGGACGCCGGCTCCGTGAAGGGCCTTCGCAGCTGATGCTCATGATGCTCGCTGAGGGCGTCGGCTCGGTGAAAAGCCTTCGCAGCTGATGCTCGTGATGTTCGCTGGGGACGCCGGCTCCGTGAAGGGCCTTCGCAGCTGATGCTCATGATGCTCGCTGAGGGCGTCGGCTCGGTGAAAAGCCTTCGCAGCTGATGCTCGTGATGTTCGCTGGGGACGCCGGCTCCGTGAAGGGCCTTCGCAGCTGATGCTCATGATGCTCGCTGAGGGCGTCGGCTCGGTGAAAAGCCTTCGCAGCTGATGCTCGTGATGTTCGCTGGGGACGCCGGCTCCGTGAAGGGCCTTCGCAGCTGATGCTCATGATGCTCGCTGAGGGCGTCGGCTCGGTGAAAAGCCTTCGCAGCTGATGCTCGTGATGTTCGCTGGGGACGCCGGCTCCGTGAAGGGCCTTCGCAGCTGATGCTCATGATGCTCGCTGAGGGCGTCGGCTCGGTGAAAAGCCTTCGCAGCTGATGCTCGTGATGTTCGCTGGGGACGCCGGCTCCGTGAAGGGCCTTCGCAGCTGATGCTCATGATGCTCGCTGAGGGCGTCGGCTCGGTGAAAAGCCTTCGCAGCTGATGCTCGTGATGTTCGCTGGGGGCGCCGGCTCCGTGAAGGGCCTTCGCAGCTGATGCTCATGATGCTCGCTGAGGGCGTCGGCTCGGTGAAAAGCCTTCGCAGCTGATGCTCGTGATGTTCGCTGGGGACGCCGGCTCCGTGAAGGGCCTTCGCAGCTGATGCTCATGATGCTCGCTGAGGGCGTCGGCTCGGTGAAAAGCCTTCGCAGCTGATGCTCGTGATGTTCGCTGGGGGCGCCGGCTCCGTGAAGGGCCTTCGCAGCTGATGCTCATGATGCTCGCTGAGGGCGTCGGCTCGGTGAAAAGCCTTCGCAGCTGATGCTCGTGATGTTCGCTGGGGGCGCCGGCTCCGTGAAGGGCCTTCGCAGCTGATGCTCATGATGCTCGCTGAGGGCGTCGGTTCGGTGAAAAGCCTTCGCAGCTGATGCTCGTGATGTTCGCTGGGGACGCCGGCTCCGTGAAGGGCCTTCGCAGCTGATGCTCATGATGCTCGCTGAGGGCGTCGGCTCGGTGAAAAGCCTTCGCAGCTGATGCTCGTGATGTTCGCTGGGGGCGCCGGCTCCGTGAAGGGCCTTCGCAGCTGGTGCTCGTGATGTTCGCTGGGGGCGCCGGCTCAGTGAAGGGCCTTCGCAGCTGATGCTCATGATGCTCGCTGAGGGCGTCGGCTCGGTGAAAAGCCTTCGCAGCTGATGCTCGTGATGTTCGCTGGGGGCGCCGGCTCCCTTCGCAGCTGATGCTCACGATGCTCGCTGAGGGCGTCGGCTCGGTGAAAAGCCTTCGCAGCTGATGCTCGTGATGTTCGCTGGGGGCGCCGGCTCCGTGAAGGGCCTTCGCAGCTGATGCTCATGATGCTCGCTGATGGCGTCGGCTCGGTGAAAAGCCTTCGCAGCTGATGCTCGTGATGTTCGCTGGGGGCGCCGGCTCCGTGAAGGGCCTTCGCAGCTGGTGCTCGTGATGTTCGCTGGGGACGCCGGCTCAGTGAAGGGCCTTCGCAGCTGATGCTCATGATGCTCGCTGAGGGCGTCGGCTCGGTGAAAAGCCTTCGCAGCTGATGCTCGTGATGTTCGCTGGGGGCGCCGGCTCCGTGAAGGGCCTTCGCAGATGATGCTCATGATGCTTGCTGAGGGCGTCGGCTCGGTGAAGGGCCTTCGCAGCCGATGCTCATGATGCTCGCTGAGGGCGTCGGCTCGGTGAAGGGCCTTCGCAGCTAATGCTTGTGATGTTCGCTGGGGGGCGCCGGCTCCGTGAAGGGTCTTCGCAGCTGATGCTCATGTTGCTCGTTGAGGGCGCCGGCTCGGTGAAGGGCCTTCGCAGCTGATGCTCGTGATGTTCGCTGGGGGCGCCGGCTCCGTGAAGGGCCTTCGCAGCTGATGCTCATGATGCTCGCTGAGGGCGTCGGCTCGGTGAAGGGCCTTCGCAGCCGATGCTCATGATGCTCGCTGAGGGCGTCGGCTCGGTGAAAAGCCTTCGCAGCTGGTGCTCGTGATGTTCGCTGGGGACGCCGGCTCGGTCAAGGGCCTTCGCAGCTGATGCTCATGATGCTCGCTGAGGGCGTCGGCTCGGTGAAAAGCCTTCGCAGCTGATGCTCGTGATGTTCGCTGGGGGCGCCGGCTCCGTGAAGGGCCTTCGCAGCTGATGCTCATGATGCTTGCTGAGGGCGTCGGCTCGGTGAAGGGCCTTCGCAGCCGATGTTCATGATGCTCGCTGAGGGCGTCGGCTCGGTGAAGGGCCTTCGCAGTTAATGCTTGTGATGTTCGCTGGGGGGCGCCGGCTCCGTGAAGGGTCTTCGCAGCTGATGCTCATGTTGCTCGTTGAGGGCGCCGGCTCGGTGAAGGGCCTTCGCAGCTGATGCTCGTGATGTTCGCTGGGGGCGCCGGCTCCGTGAAGGGCCTTCGCAGCTGATGCTCATGATGCTCGCTGAGGGCGTCGGCTCGGTGAAGGGCCTTCGCAGCCGATGCTCATGATGCTCGCGTCGGCTCGGTGAAAAGCCTTCGCAGCTGATGCTCGTGATGTTCGCTGGGGGCGCCGGCTCCGTGAAGGGCCTCCGCAAGTGATGCTCATGATGCTTGCTGAGGGCGTCGGCTCGGTGAAGGGCCTTCGCAGCCGATGCTCATGATGCTCGCTGAGGGCGTCGGCTCGGTGAAAAGCCTTCGCAGCTGATGCTCGTGATGTTCGCTGGGGGGCGTCGGCTCGGTGAAGGGCCTTCGCAGCCGATGCTCATGATGCTCGCTGAGGGCGTCGGCTCGGTGAAAAGCCTTCGCAGCTGATGCTCGTGATGTTCGCTGGGGGCGCCGGCTCCGTGAAGGGCCTTCGCAAGTGATGCTCATGATGCTTGCTGAGGGCGTCGGCTCGGTGAAGGGCCTTCGCAGCCGATGCTCATGATGCTCGCTGAGGGCGCCGGCTCCGTGAAGGGCCTTCGCAAGTGATGCTCATGATGCTTGCTGAGGGCGTCGGCTCGGTCAAGGGCCTTCGCAGCCGATGCTCATGATGCTCGCTGAGGGCGTCGGCTCGGTGAAAAGCCTTCGCAGCTGATGCTCGTGATGCTTGCTGGGGGCGTCGGCTCGGTGAAGGGCCTTCGCAGCCGATGCTCATGATGCTCGCTGAGGGCGTCGGCTCGGTGAAAAGCCTTCGCAGCTGATGCTCGCGATGTTCGCTGGGGGCGTCGGCTCGGTGAAGGGCCTTCGCAGCTGATGCTCATGATGCTCGCTGAGGGCGTCGGCTCGGTGAAAAGCCTTCGCAGCTGATGCTCGTGATGTTCGCTGGGGGCGTCGGCTCGGTGAAGGGCCTTCGCAGCTGATGCTCATGATGCTCGCGTCGGCTCAGTGAAAAGCCTTCGCAGCTGATGCTCGCGATGTTCGCTGGGGGCGTCGGCTCGGTGAAGGGTCTTCGCAGCTGATGCTCATGATGCTCGCTGAGGGCGTCGGCTCGGTGAAAAGCCTTCGCAGCTGATGCTCGCGATGTTCGCTGGGGGCGTCAGCTCGGTGAAGGGTCTTCGCAGCTGATGCTCATGATGCTCGCTGAGGGCGTCGGCTCGGTGAAAAGCCTTCGCAGCTGATGCTCGCGATGTTCGCTGGGGGCGTCGGCTCGGTGAAGGGTCTTCGCAGCTGATGCTCATGATGCTCGCTGAGGGCGTCGGCTCGGTGAAAAGCCTTCGCAGCTGATGCTCGCGATGTTCGCTGGGGGCGCCGGCTCGGTGAAGGGTCTTCGCAGCTGATGCTCATGATGCTCGCTGAGGGCGTCGGCTCGGTGAAAAGCCTTCGCAGCTGATGCTCGCGATGTTCGCTGGGGGCGCCGGCTCCGTGAAGGGCCTCCGCAGCTGATGCTCATGAAGGGCACCTCGAAGCCCAAACCGTAAAACAAACTCCAACGTACTATGACACCAGTTGCCCCCGTATAAGGGTATCTCCATGAAGAAAAACTCTAAAACTCTAAAAGCCCCTGAAACTCTGAAAGCCTAAACCTCCAAGCCCAAACCCTAAAAGAAACTCCAGCATCCTAAACCCTAAACCCCAAACCAGTTGCGCCTGCAAGGGTCTCCGAGGATCTTGAAATTCCGGCTGGCAGTCGGGCCCTCCACCCCATAGCCCCAAAAGCCACAACACCCAAATCCTTAAACCGGCCCACAAGAAGCGATCCCCACCCTAAACCCTAACCCCTAACCCTAAACCCTAAACCCTCAACCCTAAACCCTCAACCCCAACTATACAAGGCCCGAAGCCACATTTGCCTGAAGCATGAGGAGGTCGGCGATGAGTGGCGCCACGGTGAGGAGCGTTCCTGCAGTAGAGGCCTGCCAAGACCCCGAGTAAGGTTGAGGGTTGAGGGTTGAGGGTTTAGGGTTTAGGGTTTAGGGGTTCAGAGGTGCAGCTTTCTGAGGTCAACGCTCATAGGGGGTTCGGCATGTAGGGTTATGCTGAGAGGCTTTGGTAGGTGACTGCCGGGAGATCTACCTTGGGAGATGGTTCTTCCCCCCCTCTCCCCCCACCCCATACTCCCACTGTTTGTGGTTTCGGGGGGGGGGGGGGGGGGCGGGGGCTCATGGGTTTAAGGGTGTTTGGGCTTAGGGTTCAGGGGTTCAGAGGCGTATGGGTTTAGGGTGTTGGGGCTTTTCACACAGCTCAAGGGTGTTCGGGTTGAGGATCTATGGTTCCAAGGTTCATCTTCCTAATGAACAAGGCATATTCAGGGAGTGTAACATGAAGCTTATTCAAAGGGAGCCTTGGAAAGGGGATTGCAGGAGCCAAGAATCTCGCCCACACTCCACATAACCCTACCAAACCCATAACCCCCCCCCCCCCCCCCCGAATTTCGGGCTTAGGGTTTAGGATTTAGGGTTGAAACGACTTAGGCCGGCTTAGGGTTAGGGTTTAGGTTTCGGGTTTAGGGTAAACAGGCGCTGCGCAGACCTCAAACCCTCAAGACCCCACGACCGGCAGGGAGGAGCCGGGGACTTTCACCTCCTCCCCATTGGCGGGCAGGGGGGGGGCGGGGACCCTAAACCCGAAACCCTAAACCCGGCCATAAACCCTGAACTCCTCTAGCGTAGAGCGTAAAGCTTGCCATAAACCTCTTAGCAAGCCATCTCAACCACCTCCTCCCAACCCACCCCTAAACCCTAAACCCTAAACCCTAAACCCTAAACCCTAAACCCTAAACCCTAAACCCTAAACCCTAAACCCTAAACGTGGAAAGCAGAATCCTCGTAGTCCACGTAGTGTGCACCCTCGGGCCGAATGAGTTGAAGAATTCATGTCCCTCCAAAGTGTTTCTCCTCTGGGGGCTTACGAAAAAAAGGGTTTAGGGTTTAGGGTTTAGGGCTTAGGGTTTAGGGTTTAGGCTAAACCCAAAAAATGAACCCCCAAAGGGTCGGATTCCACTATCATAAGGACCCCAAGAAGGTGCCCCCCGAACTTCGGAAAACCCCATATGAACGCAGAAGCACATTCCCAGGGCGGGGCCTCCTAGACCCTAGCCCTAAACCTTAACCCCTAAAGCCTAAACACCCCCCTAAGGGTTTAGGGTTTAGGGTTCTGGGTTTAGGGTTTAAGGCTTAAGCCTAAACTCCCCCCCCCCCCCGGCCCGACCCCCGAACCTTCATCGCAAGCTTGATGACGGAAAGCCGATGGCCCGAGCCGACAGTTCTCAAGAAGATTCCTGGGCGAAACCCAAGGCATGCTTGAAGGTTCAGGGTACTTCTGAACCAATTAATTACAGTCTAACCCACTTATGAGTCCCTTAAGTGCCCCAATGTGGTGATAATTTGGGTTGTAGTACCATGAACCTTCAAGTAGACATACCGTCTGAATACAACAGCTGCAGCCCGAAATGTTCCCTGCTGTATCACACTAAAGCCCGAAATAATCTAAAACTACACCCTAAACCCTGAATCCTAAATCCTACACCCTACACCCTAAACCCTGAACCCTAAACCCTACACTCTAAACTCTAAACCCCCAACACCGTGAGACTGAGACCCTAAAACCCCTAAACCCGAAAACCCTCTTGAGGTTTAGGGTTTAGGGTTTGGGGTTTAGGGCTTAGGGTTCAGGGTTTAGGGTTTAGGGTTCAGGGTTTAGGGTTTAGGGTTTAGGAATTAGCCCCCAAACCCTGGATCCCCCAAAGACAAGGTCACGCACTGCCGACTATGAGCCCCTACCCTACCAAAAAAGGGAAATGTTGAAGAGAGAAGGTTGAGGGGCTTAGGATTTAGGGCTTAGGCGTTTGAAGGGTTTTAAGGCTTTAAGGGTTGAAGGGTTTAGGGGGTTTAGGGGGTTTAAGGGTTTAGGGGGTTCCCGGGCTTAGGGCTGAGGGTTTCGGGTGTCGGGTGTAGTATTCAGGGTTTCCCACGTAGTGAATGTTACTGCTGGCTTTCAGCTTACATGGTCGAAGGATGATGTTTGACCCTAACTTGCTGGTTGGGGTTCAGGGTTCGGGTGTTACATGGTCTCTGGTTGCTTTGCTAAGGGCCCTTAAAGGGGGGACCCCTTATATATACCCCTGCAAACACCCCGAGGCCCAATGCTTCAGAACCCTTTGGGAGAAGGTAAGGGACCCGTATCAAGGGACATGGAGCTACCCTTAGAATAGGGAAGGAAGGCGGTGCCCTATAGGGATCTTTGCCGGCCAACAAAGCGGACTTCCCGGTACCAGAGTCCCAAGTCCGCACTGATCAGAGGCCTGGCGCCTGTAGCCCCAAAGTTCGAGACCACTGATTTTTGAGTCCCTGAACCCTAGACCCCAAGCCCTAAACCATAAACCCTAAACCCAATAGTTTGGGAATGCACAAGCCTTTTAGTGACAAACGAGCGGTCGGAACTTTACGGCTTGCACCCCCCCTAACAAACCCGAAATTCCTCCAGAACCCTAGCAACACTAACAAGCCCGAAGCCCTGTCTTGCTGCTGCAGTCTAGGTTTGAATCTTCCTACGCGCCCCCATGTGGAAGCCCCAAAAGGATGACACCTTCTGTCGATTTCTCTTGGGCGCTGAATACCCTAGCCCAAAAGAGGTTACGTAACCTGTTTTTTGTAATGGGATTATGTATAACAAAAGAGATTCAAGTCGTAACTACCCAGCCAGCTAAGTTCTTTAGATGTTGCAGAAACCCTAAACCCTAAACCCTAAACTCTAAACCCCAAACGAAGCCATGGCTGAGGTGTTTTTCGGACACCCGAATCCGTAGCCGAAGGGCGGACTCCGTGCGCGTTCTTCTGGTAGCGCTCGTCGTCTGTGACGTACCTGCCGAGCCCCTTCTGAAGTTGAGGGGTTTAGAGTTTAGGGTTTAGGGTTTAGGGTTTAGGGTTTAGAGCTAGGGTTTAGAGCTCAGAGTTGGGATGCTCCCCTTATGCTAAGAGTCCTTCATAGGTAGTATAATATAGAGGGTATTTTAATCCCTATTAAGGACAGTTAGTATAAGGGGGAAACTCCCAAATTATAGGGTTGTTAAGGGAGGGGTATGTCACCCAACGTTCCCTGATACTCCCCACTACTCCCTAAGGCTCCCTAAGCTTCCCTATGGTTCCCTAGCTACTCCCTGAAAAACCCCCATAAGTTAGGTTTTTAGGGTCATAGGCTGTGGGGCGGCTCCCGAAAAAGGGTCCCTTTCTTGGTTCCCTGAAATTTACTTGAAGCCCAAAACAGAAAAACGACAGACTCATAATCCAGATGAATCCACGCGAATCCGCCTGAAATGTCCAACCCCACCCTCACCCCTCAATGGGTAAGAGGGTTTAGGCGGTACTGTGTAGAGGAACCCATTGCACAGCATCAAACCCATTCCGCCTTTTGAAACCTAAATCCTAAACCCCCAAACGCCCAAAAAATCATCCACCCCGTCCTGACCCTGAGCCCTAAAAAGCCCAGTGACTCCTATACCGCATAATTAATAAGGAAATATATCCCCCACTGAAGCTTTCTGGGGCTCCTTTTTCCTGGAGACTTAAGGTTCAGGGAAACCTACAACAAAAAACAACCCAAACCCTAAACCCTAAACCCTAAACCCTAAACCCTGAACCCTAACCCTAAACCCTAAACCCTAAACCCTTCAAGCCCTAAACCCCAACCCAAATCCCTAAACCTAAGCCCTGAACCCTAAACCCTAAACCCTTAAAGCCCTAAACCCTACACCCCGTCAACTCCGCTCCCTTCTCAGGCCCCTAACTTGCAGCCGGCAGTGCTCTGCTGAGGCGACGAAGTAGCCAAAATGGCTCTCTTCGAAAAGCCTGGGTTCGGATTCAGGGTTTAGGGTTTGGGGGGGTTTAGGGTTTAGGGTTTAGGGTTTGGGGCGAGGGGGTTTAGGGTCTGTCTGGGTTAGGGTTTACCTTGAAAGCCCCCCAAAACCTACTTTTGATCGGTTGCCGGGGACTCCTGTGGTTTTAGAGTAAAAACCTGCAAAGAGCAGGTTTAGGGATAAGGTGGGGAGTAGGGTTTGGGGTTTACAAGGGTTCAGGCATAGGATTGTTTTAGAACTCTTGGTTTTCGCTTTGGGGTTTAGGCTCCATAAGGGCTTGGGGTGTAAGATGGTTCCAGAACTTAGGGTTTAGGGTTTACAGTATAGGCTCGCAAATGCGGGCTACAAGATCTAAGATTGGAGTCGTTGTAATGTGCTGTTTTGTCATATACCATTACCCCAGGCACGTATGCACATATGATTCTGTACACACACACATATCGTGTTTTGCAGGGTACAAGGTATAAGATGTTTAGGGCTGTGGGGGGTTAGGGTTTAGGGTTCAAGGTGTAGGGTTTGGCCCACTAACTTAGCAAACTGGCACTGGACACCGCGGACTGGTAGAGTAGAAGCCAACCCCACTTGAAGCCCTTGAATCAGCCTCAAAACCCCGGAAAACCTTCTAGACCCGGCTAGGATACCAACCCTCAATATCCCCAAAGCTTCCTCTTTAAACCTGACTACTAATTCGCCCAAACCCTAAACCCCAAACCCCAAACCCTAAACCCTAACCCCCGAACCCTCAACCCCAAACCCTAAACCCCAAACCTTCCACCGACAAAGCTAAGGAGCGTGTCAAGCCTACGAACCTTCACGCTGGGCTTGCACTTGTCGTTCTGGATGTGACAATTCCAGACCTCTGTGGCGTCGAACCCTAAACCCTAAACCCTAAGCCCTAAACCCTAATCCCTAAACCCTAAACCCTAACCCAAAACCTGAATAAACTGGAGGAACGTCAACTGGAGGAACGTGTTAGGCGGTGGTCCCTGTCAAGCTGCAGATCATACTTGTGGACTGCCCGAAGGGTTTGGGGTTTAGGGTTTGGGGTTCAGGGTTAGGGCCTAAACCCTCATCAATCTAAATGCCTATAGCACCAACCTGCTGGTTACAACCTGAGTAACTCTAATAATGAACCTCCACCCGGAAGCCTAAGTACACCCCAGTACACCCCTAAACCCGTTACGTGTGTTAATGAGCTTGATGCAAGCAATAGGCTGTGGCTTTCCAACTTCCAAGAAACCCGTTAACAATCCTTAAATAAGGGGCGCCGAACCCTCACTCTGAAACCCCGAAACAATCATAAACCCTCGATCGTGCCGGGTGTAAAGTCTAGGGTTGAGGGCTTGGGCTTTGGAGAAGTCCTGAACCCTGAACCATATATCTTTTGTTATATATATATATATGTATATATATATATACATATTTTCTAGATTGTATATATAATATAAAAAAGATTGTATATATAATATATAATATATAAAATATAATCTATAATATATAATATATAATATCTAATATATAATATATCATATATCATATGTAATATATTATTTTCCAATATTAATTTGAAATATTATAATATATATATATATATATACAAATACCCTTTCCCAGCTCCGGCAAGACGCGAAAGAAACCTCGATAGCCGCGCCCAGCATCGAAATCTCCTGACGTGCACCCACGAAGCCCAAGACTAGGGGTTTTAGGCTTTCTAGGGTGTTTTTAGGGTTTTAAGGGTTTTGAGGGCTTTCATTGGGGTTTTAGGCTTTTGAGGGTGTTCAGGCGTTTTTGGGGTTTTTAGGGTTGTTAGGGTTTTTGCGGGCTTTATTCGGCTTTTTTAGGGTGTAGGGGGTTTAGGGCTTGAGGTTTGCGTCCAACTGCAAACACCAATGAACTGTGGCCCGATTAAAACGTTTAGGATAGGGTTTCAAGTTTAGGGTTTAAGGATAGGGAACCCAACAGCAAAGATGGCACCTCGAAGCGGACAGGCGTAGGTTCGCACAGCAGCAGGAGTTCGCGGACGGTGAACCTTGCAATGTCGAGAGAGGTGTGTAAGGTCCAGGGTTGAAGGGACGACCCTAAACCCTAAACCCTAAACCCTAAACCCTAAACCCAAAAGTCTAAACCCTAAACCCTAAACCCTAAACCCGAACCCTCAACCCTAAACCCTAAACCCGGGGCCAGTCTCTGACTGCAGTGAGTGGGATTCAGGGACGAGAATGAAGGGGTCATTTGTTGGTGGCGGTGACTGTGCAGACATGCTAGGGTTTAGGGGTTAGGGTTCCGGGTTGAGGGTTTAAGAAAATTGGAACCCCCACCCTTCTGAGGGGACCAGAGCATCAGGGATCTGAGGTTGGAGGAAGTGAGCAAGCTTTTGAATCACGTGAGGAGCGTGAGAAGTAGGCTCAGACTTCCGGGCTTCTTGCAAACCGCACTTTCATGGGTTCAGGTTGAAATGTTCCCCCCATGCTAACAGTCCCTCTGTCATGGGTTCAGGTTGAAATGTTCCCCCTATGCTGACAGTCCCTCATAGGGATTATACTGGGGGCTTAAGGATTGTTAGTACGTATAGGGGGTAACAACCTCAGGTTCAGGGGTTAAGGGCTTAGAGGGGTCAAGGGCTTAGGGTAAACCCTTGAAGAGGTCGCAGCCAAGAGGCAAGTTGTAACCTGGTTCTGACCCTAAACCCTAAACCCTAAACCCTAAATCCAAAACCCTAACCCCAACACCCCAAACCCTAACCCCTAAGCCCTAAGCCCTTCACAAGGTACACCCTTAAAAGAGGCTGCAGCTAAGAGGCAAGTTGTAATCTGGTTCTGACTCTAAGCCCTAAACCCTAAACCCTAAACCCTAAACCCTAAACCCTAAACCCTAAACCCTAAACGATCGCAGCTAAGAGGCAAGTTGTAACCTGGCTCTGGATAAGCATGGTCTGTCTCCGTCGACCAGATTTTGTCCGGAGCCATGCCGACAAACCTTGCTGCGCCCTAAACCCTAAACCCTAAACTTTTAAACCCTAAACCCTAAACCCTAAACTCTAAACCCTAAACCCTAAAGCCTAAACTCTAAACCCTGAACCCAACGCCACACCCTGAGAGCCTAAACCCTATATACCCTACGTAACCCCCAAAGCTCCCCGGGGCTTCCAAGAGGCTGGATGGCACTCTTCACCCAAATTGCCAGGTCGGCCGATGCATCGAGCTTGTAGCTTTCCTGGGCTTAGGGGGGTTTAGGGTTTAGGGATTAGAGTTCAGGGTTTAGGGTTTAGGGTTTAGGGTTTAGGGTCTAGGGAAGGCAAAGAGCTTAGGGCGCACTCACACTAAAAATTCGAATTCCGAACTCTTGAACCCTAAGCCCTAAAGCATAAAGCAAACCCCCTAAACTCCTTCGTAAACCCGTAGGACCATCAGTCAGTTGCCTTACATCTGCCATCTTCGTGGGTAGCCGGTGTGGCTTTCAAGCAGTGCGAGTCCCGTACAGCTCCAGCTCCTACATACCCTCGTCTCCTCACCGGAAAACCCTCAGAAATCTCTAAACCCTAAACCTAAGACATCCCTAAACTTTCAACTTGATACAGCCCTGAACCCTAAACCCTAAACCTAACACATGCCTAAACCCTAAACTGATGAAGCCCTGAACCCTAACAACAAGAATCAAACTGAATCCCAAACTTCTCTAAGCATCTGACATCTCTAGGGTCGACTAGGCTGAAGGCTCCCCCGCCCTGAAAACACTCAGACTCCTGGGCCCCCGAGGGATTAGGGTTTAGGGTTTAGGGTGTAGGGTTTAGGGTTTAGGGTTTAGGGTTTAGGGCTGGGCCTTGGGGGGGAAGCCCTACTCCAAACCCTGCAGCCGAAGCCTCAAGCCTTCAGCCCGAAAACGAACCCTGAACCCCGAACCGTAAACCCTAAACCCAAAACCGTGAACCCCAACACTAAACCCTAACACCTTAAGCCAACGAAGGGGGGTACTTTCGGCCCCCTGGGTTTAGGGTTTAGGGTTTAGGGTTTAGGGTTTAGGGAGGTTGGTTTTGGGCTTTCGCAAAGAGTCATCCTGCTCTTCGATGGGGCACCAGGAAGGCTCAATGCAGAAGCCCTTCTCAGAGCACTTTCCCTCCACCTCAGGGGGGGTTTAGGGTTTAGGGTTTAGGGTTTAGGGTTTAGGGTTTAGGAAGAAGTGGGAGGGACGCCCAGGGTGTAGAGATCCGGGGGGTTTAGGTGGGAAAGTGGAGTAGACGCCCAGCAATTTAGAGACTGTAAGGGCGAGAGCCCAAGACCTTTTAGCCACGACTCCTCCCTAAATGGTGGGCTGGCCCAATACACGTTGAAGTTCTGTGGGCTATGTCGGTTCTCTCGGGCTGTATGCTTTTTTTAAGGCTTAGATGGGTTCCATGGGTGATGTACGTATATCATCTGGGTGAACTCCGGATTCCAAAGCAATCCTTGAAGTTTCCCCGAGGGCCAGGCCTGCGCATGACAATCGGCATCCGTCTCACATCGCAGCTGCTTGTCTTCACAAACGCCCCGCTGCTGGTGGCTTATGTCAAGCCGCGTCGCGACGAAGAGGTTGCCGTTTTCCTTCAAGGGGCTGTCAGGGAGGGACTCATGTGTAGGTGGTCACTTCTCTCAATTATGATTCCTAAACCCTAAACCCTAAACCCTAAACCCTAAGCCCTAAACCCTAAACCCTCAACCCTAAACCCTAAACCCCAGAATCTCTACAGTAAACCCCTACACCCCAGGATCCCCCGTTGGGGGTCACTACTATGGGGCGGCCCCTAAGAGGTAGAGTACCCAAAAACATGATTTTGAGAACGAACAACACCTTACTTCTCCAATAACCAAGGGGGAAAAAAGGGGGAAACTTTAACATCCCTACTAAGTCTGGAAGCCCAAAAAGTTCTAAGTTCAACGGTTGGCGAAGTAAGATATAGGGCTTCTATCGTACTGCATGCGTCATGCGGGCGGAGGGGCATGACCCGTCATGATCAAGCCTTAACCGCAGAGTGGCTCCGAAGCTGCTTTCATCAGCTTTCCAAAAGAGAGTGAGGGAGAGAAGGGTTGAGTTTAGGGTTCAGAACCCAGAAACCCCCCCCCCCCCACACCCTAGAAACCCCAAGACCTCTAGAAAGCCCTGAAACGTTCTGGAAACCCCAAATGGTTGGATCGGGGAACTTTTGTGGGAGAACATTGAGGAGCCCTAAATCCTAAACCCTAAACCCTAAACCCGATCCGCGGCTCAACTCTCTCAGCCGAGCATCCAGGCCAGGATACGTTATCTCTTCGGCAGTGAAGTAGCCTCAGCGCTGCTCAGGACTTAGGGGCTTTAGGGTTTAGGGTTTACGGTTGAAGGTCTAGGGTTTAGGGTAAGCTAAACCCTAAACCCCTACAACAAAGCCTGAACCTCTCTCTAAACCTCTTCTGCGAAGTCTCTTGAATTTCGGGATCCTCTTGCAATGTATTGGAGTTTTTCAAGAATCAAGGCGTCTCGTGGGGTCTCGGGGGGAAGCCCTTAACTTATCCTCACCCGAAAACCTCAACCCCCTTGGACCCCTACACCCTGAACCAGGAACCTGGAAAATAAAAACCGCAACTTCGTGTGGTTGTAGAGGGAGAGACCCTAAACCCCAGACCCTCAAGGGAGGGGTCCTAAAGGGAAGCTGACCCCCTACACCCCAATCCTGATGACCAAAACCCTCAGCCCTGACTCCTCAACTACCCTAAACCCTAAACCCTAAACCCTAAACCCTAAACCCTAAGGCCCTAAGGCCGCCCAAGCCTGAATCCGAAACCCGAAATACCTGGAATCCTGGTTCCTGGATCACTTCCTCATGGTCTTAGGGTTGACCCTGAACCCTGAACTCTGAACCCTGAACCCTGAACTCTTAGCTCTAAACCCTAAACCCTAAACCCTAAACCCTAAACCCTAAACCCTAAACCCTAAACCCTAAACCCTAAACCCTAAACCCTAAACCCTAAACCCTAAGCCCTGAACTGTAAGACCCTGAGAGGCCCCCCAAGTGACGCGTTTTCGGCTTCCCGCTGCTGATGGCCACAAAGTTGCCATGCACGTGGGTCGAGATGGCGCCCTGCACCACTGAGGGCGTGTAGGGTTTGGGGTTTCGGGTTTCGGGTTTAGGGTTTAAATTAGGGTTTAGGGTTTAGGCTTTAGGTTTCCGGTTTAGAGGGTTTGGGGTCCAAGCACCCTAAAGCCCTAAACCCTCCCATCCTCTACTGAACCAACGGGCTGCAAAAAACCGAGAACGAGCCGTTTTAGGGTTTAGGGTTTAGGGTTTAGGGTATAGGGTTTAGGGTTTAGGGTTTAGGGTGTGCAAAGCCCTGAATCCTGAACCCCAGAACCCTGAACCGCTCAAGGTTTTAGTGTTTAGGAATTGGGCTGCGGTGTATATTCAGCTTTCCGACTTTCTGAACCCTCACCCCCAAACCCTCAACCCTCAACCACAAACCCGAAAAGGCCGCCATGTCTTCGACTTGAAGGAGGCTGCAAAAACTTTATCGAAAAGAAACCAAGCGCCCAAAATCTGCCCAGAACCCGGTGAAAACCGGCACAGACCTCTCGGCACAAACACTAAGCAATTTCTATGCGAACTGAGCTTGATGTCTCCGACGAGGTCCTAGTAGGTGTCGAGCTACTTCTGCAAGCCGAGCTATTGCTTCTGTGTCTTTCTTTGTTCTGATGGGTTCCAGGATGCGGTACCGGTACCAATCGAGGTCGTGGGCCTCGTTTGTCTCTTCCGCATGCGTGTGACTGCGTGTGCAGCTGAAGAAATTTAATCATGGCTTCGACTCACATCCTGACTAACGGCCATGGCACTCTTGAATGCTGAACTGTCTCGAGGGCACTGGCAGGGACAGGGCGGGGAGGTTGTCTGCCCCAAATGGTTTCGACGGCTTCTTGGCGGATGCTGGTTGGTGATGTCTCTGGGCTCGGGCTCGCGCATGTGCTCCAATACTGGCTGCAGCTTCGCGTAGAATATGTCGTGCACGTGCTCAAAATGGCGTTCCCTTACGCCGCGGCCCATTCCAAACAGATTTGGCTACAACAAAGTTCCCAAACCCGATTTCGAACCCCCCCCCCCCCCACCAGGCCACCTTCTGTTTTCAGACTTCAGAAAAAGCGCCGTCCAGATGTAAACCCTATACTGTTTCTATGCATACTAAACCCTAAACTACAAACCGTGAACCCTAAACCCCAAAACCCTAAACCCCCAAAACCCTGCCCCCCCCTAAAACCCTAAAAAACTAAACCCTAAACACCCTAAACCCTCTATCCCTAAAAACCCCCTAAACACCCCAAAAACCCTCACAACCCTAAAAAACCCAAACCCTAAAAACCCTCACAACCCACAAAACCCTCAAAACCCTCAAAAGCCCGAAAAACCCTTAAAGCCCTTAAAAGCCCTAAAAACCCTCAACAACCCTTAAGAACCCTAAAATTTCGATGCTCCCCCTTATACTCACAGTCCTTAATAGGGATTATAGTACCCCCGATTATGATCCCTATCATAATCTCCATAAAGGACTGTTAGTATAAGGGGGAACATCAACCTCAAAACCTAAACCCTAAACCCTAAGCCCTAAGCCCTAAACCCTAAAACCCTAAAACCCTTCAAACCCTAAGACCCTAAAACCCAAAAACCCAAAAACCCAAAAACCCTAAAACACTAAAACCCTAAAACCCTAAAACCCTAAAACCCTAAAACCCTAAAACCCTAAAACCCTAAAACCCTAAAACCCTAAAACCCTAAAACCCTAAAACCCTAAAACCCTAAAACCCTAAAACCCTAAAACCCTAAAACCCTAAGCCCTAAAACCCTCAAAAAACCCTCAAAACCCTTAAAACCCTAAAAGCGCCGGCTGTGGACTCAAACCAGCCGGCCTGGGAAGGCTCATAGTCCAGGTAGCCCTGGTTGTAAATGAAAATTCCGAATACCTGAGAAGGGTTTAGGGTTTAGGGTTTGGGGTTTGGGCTTTAGGGTTTTGGGTTTGGGGTTCACGGGGGGTCTGTTTTGAGTAGTTTTGGGTATTTTTGGGGTTGTAGATGAAGACGTGAACACCGGAAAAAAAAATGGACAGCCTGCTGGTATGTGGGTGGTGGGCCCAGTGAGCCCTTAACTCAGGGTTCAGGGTTTAGGCTCTAAACTCCTGAACTGAGGGAGCGTGCTTGAAAACCACGAGGTTCCTGAACCTAAGCTCTACTGAAAGCCTAAACCCTAAACCCTAAACCCTAAACCCTAAACCCTAAACCCTAAACCCTAAACCCTAAACCCTAAACCCTAGGAACCCCCTCTGAAGTGGACTAGGGGTTACTTAGGGCTTATTTAGGGGCTACTTACGTATGGGACTATGTAAGGGATATATATATTTATTTTTTTTTTATATAAATTCATATTATATATGTATATATATATATATATATATATTGTTTTTGTTTAAGGGTTATATAGGGCTAGGTGGGGGAATGGGATTAAGGGTCCCTTCTAGCCAGGACATCCGTCCCTCGCCTGGCGTTCCTTTGCTGCTCCTGCGCCAGCACATCGGAAAGGCCTTCCCCCTCGACTCCGCAGCAAGGCACAGGGTTTAGGGTTTAGGGTTTAGGGTTTAGTGTTGATGCGCGGGAGTGACTTGAAGGAGTCAGGGGAGTACGTGGGCCACATGCCTCCGCCGTGTGTGTACAAAACCAAAGGGGTTGGCTACGTATGGACCCTTGAGCCGTCACGTATATACCATAGGGCACATGTGTTCAAAACAACGGCACGGAGCCAGAGCATGTACAGTGTAAAGATCATGGCTGTACGCTTGATCGTTGTGAATTGCAGAACAAAAGAAGCCACGCGACCCCCGTCGCATGCCATGGCCGCGTTTGATGCTGACTTTGCACAAGCCCTTGAGACCCAGATAACTCCAGATGCCCAACAGGGTATGAGCCCAAATACTGCTAGCGCACGTGAAGATCTGCGAATGGGCGAGCTGGGAAGTTCTCAGAGGTCGGGCGTTGGTGAGACATCGTTGGCACTGAGGGCAATGGCGGTGGCATCTCCTGGTCACCAGATGGAGCAGTCCTGGGGGCAGCGAACCCCGGAACAGCGGCAAGGAGCCGAGATGGTGATGCCGGCTGTAGGGGAGGACGGGCCTGTGGTTGGGCAAGGAGCTCAAGCCTTGGTGATGGGCGCTGTGAGAACTGGTGATGCGAACATGTCAGAAGCTGCAGCTTGGAGTATGGAGGCCTTTGGAACGCGAAGGAACTTGCCAACGTGGGTGCAGCGGATTGGGACGTTTTTCCAGGAGATGAGGTCGCAGCAGGCGGCGGGACCTTTGTGGCCACCGTCGCCGTTTCCGAGTCCCCCGACGTCAAGAGTGAGACAAAGGACTGTGGCTTCGCCTCCGTCTGAAGGAGCGAGGGAAGATGCTCTGTTTTCAAGGGAGCAATGGAGGCAGCTTCAAGACATGGAAGGGAGGGCTCCGTTGCTTTATGGAGGTGGAGCTGGAGGGTCGTCACGTTCTGGAGAAGGAAGCTCTGGAGAAAGCACAAGGGAGGCCGTGGAGGCAGAGGTGCGGCGCCAGATGCAAGGGATCTTGGGACAGCTTGAAACAAGCAGGCAAGAAGCCAGTCAGTTGCGCCTTGAGGTGCAAAGGTTGAGGGCGGCTTCGGTGTCGGGCCCAGCAGAAGCATCCTTGAGTATGCCTCCGGTGTCGGGCCCAGCAGCAGCGTCCTTGAGTATGCCTCCGGTGTCGGGCCCAGCAGCAACGTCCTTGAGTATGCCTCCGGTGTCGGGCCTAGCAACCACGTCCTTGAGTATGCCTCCGGTGTCGGGCCCAGCAGCAACGTCCTTGAGTATGCCTCCGGTGTCGGGTCCAGCAACAACGTCCTTGAGTATGCCTCCGGTGTCGGGTTCAGCAGTAGCACTGAGTATGTCATCGGTGTCGGCAGCAGTGGAGGGTCAGGCTAGAGCGACGGCAAACCCCTTCTCTCCGACAGACAGGCCACTAGATTTACCTGCAGGCGTTCGGCGTGTTGGCTTCGAGGAGGTGCCAGAGGGACCGGTTGGAGAGCCTGAAGTATATGGAGGATATCTTCATGGAGGGAGTGCTAAGGCAGTTGCTCCAACAACAATGAGGCCGCTCGACGTTGTGCCGAGGAATGGCAATGCTGGGGTCCCTTCACGTGTGCAAGGTGCTGTTGGGGAAGGAACAACGCACCCTGAAGCCCCACCGGCGAGCCAAGGAGCCACCAAGGAGTCGGACAGCGTGACCAAGCTCCTGGAGGGCCTCGAAAGGGTGATCTCGGGAAAGGGGTCCAAGATCCAGGAGGAGGTAGGCCGGGTGTCGATAGAGGTCCCCAAGTTGCCAGAGATGAGCGACACGGCCTCAGTGGATTTCGGAGACTGGTTGCACTGCTTAGAGAATGCCATGAGTGACATCAGTGCAGGCTCAGCTGAATGGTGGGGGTTAGTCAGGGAGGCAGCCCAAACCTACTACGACAAGTACCAGGCCGCAGACCAGTTTGCCAGGATTGCCATGAAGCCGGTGGCCTCAAAGGACCTGATGGAATCCAGGTGGACTCGAGTGGACAGGAGGGGGGCAAGCTTGATCCTCGGCGCAGTCCCGGAGGAGATCAGGCGTGAACTTGTGGCGACCCGAGCGAGATCTACCCTGGAAGTTCTGTGCAGGCTGATGGTGCTTTACCGTCCTGGGTCTGCGACAGAGAAGTCGCAGTTGCTACGTCGACTCGAAGAACCAGGATCTGCAGGTTCTCCGCAAGAAGCCGTGGAGCTGTTGCGGCACTGGCATCGTGTGTTTCAGCGAGCGGGTGATCTGTCGTTGATTACCCCAGACCCGTCGATCCTCCTGAAGGCGCTGGATGGGTTGGTGCGCAAGCCCTTGCAGGAGAACTCAGAGGTGACGTTTCGGATGCAGCTCCTCAGGTACCACCTCAAGGTCGACATCACTCCTTCTGCTGATGGCGTGCTGGCTATCCACCGTGCGTACCTGGCAGAGTTCGAGCAGCTGGCTATGCGAAGGGCACCAAAGAAAGGGAACGCACAAACAGGTGATGGAAGCAGCAACAGCCCGGTTAATCCCAGGATGAAAGCAATCGGTGGAAAGACACCTGAAGCGCAAGGTGGAGTCCGTGAAGGTGTTCCTCAAGGCGGACAACAGAAGCCCTGTAAGTTCTTCCTGACGGACGAGGGGTGCAGGCGGGGGAAATCGTGTAAGTTCGAGCACATCATGGACAAGGAAAAGAGGGAAAGGTGCTGGACATGCGGGAGCAAGCAGCACACTTCGAAGAACTGTCCTACGAAGGCGAAGACTGACGCGCCAACCTCTTCGAATACAACAAAGACGGGGGCCGGGTCACCGAAGCGAAGTGATGGAGCGCAAGAGACTCCAACGATCCAGAAGGTGATGGAGGCTGCGGAAACTTTGTCTACGGCGACAACGACGGTACCAACCTCGTCAAGTTCGTCGAGTGTGGCTGCAGAGGACCCTGTGCAAGGAGTGCCCGTGGATCAGCTTCTGGAGAATGCGCACCGAATGATGAAGGCTTTCATTGAGGGGCAGCAAAAGGCTCCGACGATGAAGGCCATGCAGTGCCCCGAGCGCAACATGAAGGACATCCCCTCGTTGAAGAAGGGCCTGGACTGGGATACTGCCTTAAGGAGTTGTGGGGTACGTGGTGAGGAAGATGATGGGAGGATGGGGCTCTTGGATTCAGGAGCTACTCATGCGCTACGCCCGGCAACATCACAAAGTGAGCTTGACGGCTGCATCAAGGCGGAGGTGACGCTAGCAGGAGACCAGAGAGTCAAGCTTCCTCAAACCAACAGCGGTGTGATCCTGGCAGATGAGGCTCAGCCAATAGTTCCTTTGGGTTCCTTGGTCAAATCCTGGGCTATGAGTTCGTGTGGAACAGCAAGGGTTGCCGTCTTCGTCATGAATCTCGCCCGGAGATTCAGGTGTTTACAAGATCATCGTGCCCGGAGGTTCGAGAATGTGACGCGTTGAGGCTGATAGCAGAATTGGAGTCGCAGTCTGTGGAGGCAAGCCTCAAGTCCATGGTGGAGCTCAAGGCGGCGATCATGGCAGCCAAGCAGAAAAGGCCTACGGACTGGAAGGGCTATCTTCAGGAGTATGTGCGGTCAGGGGATAAGGCGGATGGGCTGAGAGCAGTGTTTGAGGCCCCGTTTATGCAGCATGTTCCGGTGGAGGAAAAGGGCAAGATCGTGGAGATGATCCCGGATTCCCCACAGGCAGCCTGGAAGCTTCTGAAGAAGATGCCGTTGAACAGAGCGAGACGGAGGCAGTTATGGAGGGCACCTGAATGGGTGGTTCACTTGTTCGCTGGCCCAGGGGTCAAGGGAGACCCTATCAAGCAGGCGGCATGCGAGACCTTGGAGATCGACGTCGCTGCGGGTTGGGACTTGTTGGACAATGAGCTGTACGCCTTCTTGCTATGGGCAGCGGCGCAGGGCAGGATCAAGGCAGTTGTCGGGGGGCCTCCGTGTAGGACGTTTTCCCTACTTCGACATCGTGAACTAGAAAGAAAGGCTGCAAGGATGCCGAGGCCGGTGAGATCAGACCAATTCCTATGGGGTCTTCCTCACCTATGTGCAGAAGATGAGGCGCTGGTCAAGGGCGACAACCTCCTGATCTTGAGAATGGTCTGGCTGTGGCTGGTGGCAGAGGCTGGCTGTGGCGAGGACGATAAGGAGGAGTGGAGATTTGATAAGGTCGACTTTGGCATGGAGCACCCGGAGGACCCAAGGGAATTCCTTGATCCTGAGTCAGACCTGTGGGCGATATGTCCGTCGATCTGGAGGACGCACTTCATGAGGGCGCTGAAGGAAGAGGTGGACCTCGAGAAGTACCAGTTTGATCAAGGGGCATATGGTCATGAGCAACGGAAACCTTCGGTGTTTTTGGCGAACATGGACTTGAACCTTCATGCTAGGGACACACGCCGGGAGGTTCCAAAGCCTACTTCGTCATCGGCAATGGCAGCGTGGGCACCGGGTCTGCGGAAAGAGATTGCGAGGGCACTCTTGCAAAGAAGGCTTCGAGGAAGTGTGGTTCAAGCAAGGGCCATGTCAGCCAAGGAGACGGCGGAATGGAGAGAGCATCTCGATGCCGGACACTGGCCGTACAGAAGGGACTGCTCGGTGTGCCTGGCAGCGTCGGGGACAGGGAGACCGGCGAGGAAGGTGCTTCACAGGGATGCCTATGTACTGAGTCTGGACATTGCAGGGGCGTTCAGAGACCAGGGAGTGGATGAGAAGAAGGGACGAAGGTATCGTTTCGTGCTGGCCGGTACATATGTGTACCCGAAGGGATACTCCGTGCGGAAGGACGAGCCAATACCTCCAGGTGGCGTTCCAGAAGCAGTCTCTCCAGATCCAGGTGGCGTTCCAAAAGCAGTCTCTCCAGATCCAGGTGGCGTTCCAAAAGCAGTCTCTCCAGATCCAGGTGGCGTTCCAGAAGCAGTCTCTCCAGATCCAGGTGGCGTTCCAAAAGCAGTCTCTCCAGATCCAAGTGGCGTTCCAGAAGCAGTCTCTCCAGATCCAAGTGGCGTTCCAGAAGCAGTCTCTCCAGATTCAGGTGGTGATCCCCGAGGCGAAGCTGAGGAGGAGGGAAACGAATGGTTCGAGACCTACGAAGAGGAAGAGGAAGAAGAACCTGGAGAGCATGAAGGAGATGGAGAGATAAAGGCGCAAGAAGAAAAGTGGAAGAAGCTGGTCGGGGATTTGAAAAGGCCCATGGAGTTTCAGACCCTTCGATTTGCAATCCCATTGGAGAAGCACCGCGGGAAGGAGATCCTAGAGGCAGTCCAGGACATCTATGTCACGCTGAAGGCGAGTGGCATGCCGTTGTCCCGAATCCACTCGGACAGGGCCAAGGAGTTCCGTACCAAGCCATTACAAAAGTGGTGTCGGGAGAGGGACATCTTCCAGACATTCACGGAAGGTTGTGCGCCTTCCCAGAACGCGGTCGCTGAAGGAGGAGTGAAATGGTTGAAAGCTAAGGCACGCCTTTTGTTGAGCGCCAAGAACGTGGAGAAGAAGTACTGGCCATGTGCGATGAAGGAGGCGTGTGATGCGCATAACAGGAGAATGCTGGCAAGGCCCGCGAAGAAGGTGCGCTTTGGTTCCGAGGTGTGGATCAAGTCGAAGAAGGACCATGGACCTTTCGACCTCAGGTGGGAAAAGGGAACCTATCTGGGCCCTATGGAAGACGTTCGTGAAGGACATGTGGTCTTGCTACAGGATGGGACTTGGCTGAGGACTTTGCATATCCGCCTGAGTACATTGAGGAGATGCCTCCTGAGTATGCCGTGGACTTAGTGGAACCCGGGAGAAGAGTTCGGGGGAAGACCACCTTGCGGGACCCAGAAGTTCGGGAGCTGAAGGTTCATCAAGATGAAAGGAGAAGGCAACTGGTGGAGACATTGATGGCTTCTACAATCTGGTCTAGCAAGGAGGCGATTGCTAAGCGACCACAGCTTCGAGAGAGCTCAATGACATCGGACGATGTGGCGTACCTGACGCTTGGCGCATACCAACATGGCGGCATCGTGAATGTCACCAACGCGACAACGAAGTATGAGAAGGAGGTGGAAGCGGCTTGTGAACTGCTACGCCATGACTTCCCGGGAGAAGGCTTCACGTCGATCGTCCTGGTAAAGAATGCCGTTATGCCAATCCACAGGGATAGCTACAACAAAAAGGAGTCGAGCAATTTGGTGTCCCCGTTGGCGGTGACAAAAGGAAGTGGGGTCTGGCAGGAGCTGAAGGTGGGGGACGAGTTCAAGGGCGAGTACCAGACACGATGCGTCAACGGAAAGGAAGTGCCTGGGCAAGTGATAGAATTCACGAGGCCTGTGAAGGTGAACCCATCGAGGCTACATGAGCCAGTCCTTGGAGAAAGTGGTCCTCGGATGTTGGTGGTTGGCTTCACGATTGCGGGAGCGCACAAGCTGGATGTCGACAAGGTGGAATACTTGAAGAGCTTGGGATGTTGGAGCTTGGAGCCGTCAACGAGCAATGGGGAGGATGCTACTCAACGTGAGGGCCATGGCAAAGAATGTGGTGGGAGAAGAGAGGATGTGTTGATGATCCCCGGGGGAAAGGTGAGCTTGAGCACGAGTTGGTCGATGCGATACCAGCCTGAGGAGGAGAACGTCAAGGAAGAGATCCTATCCCCGATGCCTACATTGCCTATGAATAAGGAGGAGAAGAGGTATTGGGAAGAAAGGGCTATGGCGTTAAAGGCGTTCATCATCCATGAAGCTGCTTGCGCGGATCAAAGAGAAGAAGGAGGCGAGGGCATTGACGTGGAGATGAATGAAAGGTTGGTTGACGCAGAGGAGGAGTTAGACTTCGTCCAGGAGATCTTGTCCAATGACGTGTGCGAGCGGGAAGAGAAGTCCCTCAAGGAGATAAGGGAAAGGGGAGTTCGCCTTGCAAAGGTGGCGGCGGATGCTACCACGGAGAACGTGGAGGACATCCTGAGAAACCTGAAGGAGCCCCTCACCGTGACGCACACAGTAGCACTTCCAGAGGTGAAGACACATTTACCCGTGTGGGTGCCAAGCATATCCAAGGAGGTCGGCCACTTGACGGGCAATGGCACCCTGGTCCCGATTCCCCTCTCTGATGCGAAGCGGCTACAAGACCAAGGAGAAATAACATTGGTCCCGGCCAAGACGGTGCACACAGTGAAGCCTCCTGATGCCGCTGCGGTGCCGCTCGTGCAAGATGGTGGAGATGAGGAAAGGAGGACGCCTGACAAAGAGGTAAGTGCCGAGAACAGCATGTACAAGAGAAAGACGAGACTGGTCATCTGCGGCAACTACATCAAGGGTGACACCGAGGTGTTCACGTCTGCCGCCAGCGCAGAGAGCCTACGCTGTGGTCTGGCGTTTGCGGCCCAAAGGAAATGGAGCGCGGCAGTTACGGACATCAATTCGGCATTTACTCTGACGCCGATGTCAGAGTCCAGTGTGCGATATGCCATCACAGTCCCCAAGGTTGTGGTGGATGCGGGGTGTGCTCCTCCAAACACTGCCTACCTGGTCGAAAGGCTTCTGTACGGCTTGAAGGAAGCGCCGCGATTGTGGGGGAATTTTCGCGATCGACGCATCAAGAAGGCAAGGGTTCGCGTGGGAGAAAGGGAGTGTAAGTTTGCCCAGATGGACACGGACCCCGCGGTGTGGAGGTTGGTGCCCGTAGATGATGAAACGGAAACATTGGCAATGATGATCGTCTACGTGGATGACGTGATGTTCCTGGGCAAGAATGATGAAATCAAGAGCATGTATGCCTGGCTCACCCAAGGAGAAGGTGATGGTGAAGGATGGAAATGCTCGGAGTTGGAATGGGTAGGCCAAAGGCCTGTCCGTTACCTCGGAATGGAGGTGCGAAGCCGCTGCTGTGGAGATGAGGTCCACTACCACATCAGCCAGGGTGGGTACATCGCAGACCTGGTTCGAGAGTATGGGATGGAGTCCGAAAAACCCTCGAAGGTGCCGGCGACGAAAGAACTCATCCCGCAGTGGGAAGAAGATGAGGAAGAAGAGTGTGGCGTGGATCAAGAGGGTATTCGAGCAGCCCAAACAGCCGCTGGAGAATTGCTATGGCTGGCCACGCGTACCAGGCCAGACATCAGCTTTGCCACGAGCTATGTGTGTGGGATGGCGACCCGCAAACCAGAAGCTGCGGTGCGGTTGGCGCACCAGGTGCGTCGTTACCTCCTCGACACCCCGGAGATTGGCTTGGTCTATCGTGGGTCGCAGCAGGCGGTGGAGACTTTCTCGGATGCAAGTTTCGCCCCGGGAAGCGGAAAATCCTTTGGCTGCAGCGCCGTATCGCTCTTCGGAGGCTTCGTAGCGTGGAGAATGACAAAACAAGCTCTGATAACGCTGTCTACGGCGGAGTCAGAGTTGTATGAGCTGATTGCCGCGCACCAGCTAGGCCTGGGCATCCAGGCGTGGGCCACGGAGGTGCAGAGCGATGTGGGCCAGGCCATCAAGGTCGACAACACTGCTGCTCTGGGACTTGCAAGTACCGCACCGGGTACTTGGAAGACTCGTCACCTCCGGGTGAGGGCGAGGTACCTTCGCCAAGAGGTGCTCGCTCAGCGGATATCCCTACATCACGAACCTGGAGAAGGGCAACCAGCAGATTTGGGGACCAAGCCAGTTCCAGCTGCCAGACTACTTGTACTCCGGCGCCTTTGGGGCATGGTTTCGGCAGATGAGTTCGCCAAGGAGCACGATGTCAGTGAAAGCCGACCAGCGAATGCGGTGTCAAAGCTTGAGGCAGTGAAGATCATGGCGATGATGTTGGCAATGACAATGGTGAAGGGAGCGGACGCCGAGAAGGAGTTCAAGAAGCCGGTGGAGTTGGATGGAAGTTTGGAGTTCTACGTCTGTGTGGTAGTCGGCGGCGTGGCTTTGCTTGGAGTATGGGAATTCCTGAAGGGCCTGGCTACGTGGATGTGGGGAGATCGTGAAGAAGCACGCGCAAAAAGGGCCAGAAGACTAGCAAAGATAAGGGATCAAGCAGCTCGAGCCCTACAGCGTGAACTGGCGAGTGCGGAGGAGGAGGAAATGCAGTCAGAGGGTGTGTCATCAGCCCCGGCTTGCCCGCCAGCAGCGAGGCAGCAGGCGTCCTCGTCGTCTACATCACTGGTGCCAGAACATCAGGAAGAAAACAGTATAACAACGGCCCGTGCAGCAAAAGAGAAGCTGACTTTCCGAGGTTTGTCGGCGGCGCTCTATGTTGCGGAGCATGGAGATCGAGTTCACGTTCGGCAAGAGTGTTATGGCTTGAGGCATGCGAACAAGGAGAGACTTCGGAAGTTGCGATATTGTACATGTTGTGCAGAGGGATACCCCCTGTACTATCGCCTCCCTTTTGGAGATCCTCCCCTTGAAGAACCGGGCCAAGAAGCGCATCGAAGATGACATTTTGTCAGAGCTTCCAAACCGAGGAGGAGTGTTGATGCGCGGGAGTGACTTGAAGGAGTCAGGGGAGTACGTGGGCCACATGCCTCCGCCGTGCGTGTACAAAACCAAAGGGGTTGGCTACGTATGGACCCTTGAGCCGTCACGTATATACCATAGGGCACATGTGTTCAAAACAACGGCACGGAGCCAGAGCATGTACAGTGTAAAGATCATGGCTGTACGCTTGATCGTTGTGAATTGCAGAACAAAAGAAGCCACGCGACCCCCGTCGCATGCCATGGCCGCGTTTGATGCTGACTTTGCACAAGCCCTTGAGACCCAGATAACTCCAGATGCCCAACAGTTTAGGGTTTAGGGTTTAGGGTTTAGGGTTTAGGGTTTAGGGTTTAGGGTTTAGGGTGAGCTTCCTTGGCCTTTGTCGCACGCGGGTCATCCGACATCTGAGCATTCAGTGCCCCAGCAGGATGCGAGGGGTGCCTCCCTTAAGCTTCTTCACGTCGGGCATGCAGAGAAGCGCCTAGGGCTTAGGGTGTAGGGTTTTAGGGCTTCGGGTGTAGGGTTTTATAGGGCTTTAGGGTTTTGGGCTTGTAGGGTTTAGTGTTTTAGGGTTTAGGGTCTTCGGGTTTAGGCCCCACACCCTGATACCCCTGCACCCCGAAGCCCTTACGTGCAACCGTGGAAGCAATGTAGGTGACCATGGCTGTCTGCATCGTGCACTGGATTATGCCCAGCCATTTGTCTCGAATCTCAACCTCAGGGAACACAGGGAACACAGGGACTAAGCGTGTAGTGTTTTGGGTTTAGGGTTTAGGCTAAAAGTTTAGGGTTTGGGGTTTAAGGCTCAGGGTTTTGGGTGTAGGGTTTGGGGCCGTTTTGGGTCTGGGGATTGTAGGGCTGCGGGCCCCACCCTCGGGACCCCAACCGCCTGTCAGTCTTGCCCATGAATCCGCCCTTGAGACCCTAACCGCTGTAAAGACCCTTGAAAAGCACCCATCCTGACAGTACCATCTTGACTTAGAAACCGTACCATCATGAGTCTTTCTACGTGACAGGAACTCTCTTGACAAGGAACCCACCCTCGGGACCCCAACCTCTCTTGCACTTATAACCTCTTCTCCCTTCATATCTTGGTCTAACCGTTCACACCCTTGTCCGGGGATTCATGAAGATATGGTTAATGCACAGGCTTTTGGTACTAACCGGGCTGGTTGACCTTTCGCACCCATCACACCTTGAGACCCTAACCGCTGTTTCCAAGCCACTAAGAACCCAATATAATAGTATTACTGCGGTAAGTTCACGCACGCGCATTAATAATATCGGGGTGTAGGGCTTAGGGAAATGGGTCGAGTGTTTACCTTTTGCTTCAAAGTTATGTAGGGTTTTGGGTTGAGTGCGTTTTTAGGGTTCGAGTCCACAGGTTCAGGGATTAGTTTAGATAGTCGAAGTTTCATGGGTATGTAGCCATATGCAGGGCTGTAAGTATGCTGCGCTACCCTCACCCTGGCAAGAGGCCGGACTGGGTGTAGGTTGTACTTGAAGGTTCATGGTACTTCTGAACCACTTACAACTGTACTTATAACCCCAAATATATAACCATATTAGGGCACTTGAGGAGCTTATAAGTGGGTCACAAGTACAGTCTAAACCCTAAACCTTAAACCCTAAACCCTAAACCCTAAACCCTAAACCCTAAACCGTGGGGTTGCTAAGTACCCTGAACCTCCAAGTAGGTTCCAGGTCTGGCTCGGGTCTGTTGTTGGGCATGCCAGAGCTAGCACCCTCGGTTCGGATCAAGGACCCTGGTCTGGTGTCGACCCAACATCAAAAACAACTCCAAACCCCTAATTCCTATCGCAAATCCCACAAACTTTCCCGAAGTTTACACCTTAAACCCTAAACACTGAACCCTGAACCCTAAGCCCTTATGGTAGAAACCGAAACACTACTCCTGAAACCGCGTGCCCCAGACTGCCCTGCCATCCCCAATGCCTCCTAAAGCCTGTAGACCCTGAGCCTGTCAACCCTGTACACCCTGGGTTTAGGGTTTAGGGGTTTAGGGGTTTAGGGGTTTAGGGGTTTAGGGGTTTAGGGGTTTAGGGGTTTAGGGGTTTAGGGGTTTAGGGGTTTAGGGGTTTAGGTGTTTGGGGGTTTAGGGGTTTAGGGGTTTAGGTGTTTGGGGGTTTAGGGGTTTAGGGGTTTAGGGGTTTAGGGGTTTAGGGGTTTAGGGGTTTAGGGTTAAACCCAAAACCCTAAATCCTCAACCCTCAAACCCGAAACCCTTAGCCAAAAACCTAAACCCTGAACCCATGTAACTCTTCTTACACCCCACGCCTTCATCTCCCCCCCCCGAAGCCCGATGAGACTTGTGCGCCTGTTGCTTTGTGCTGTATGAACAGAGCTTGTCCGGATCCTGGCTGGGGTTTGGGGTGAACCCGCAAAACCCTAAACCTAAACCTAAACCCTCAACCCTCAACCCTCAACCCCAAACCCAAACTGTTCGCAGAGTCCCTCTTATAAGCAACCTATATGCTCTGTGTTTTGCAAAGCTTAAGCCCCTAACCAGGCAAGGCTGCGATAGCATGGGGTTTTTAGGGTCTCGGGATTGGGGGTCTGAATGCATCCGTTTTTTGGTGGTGGGGGGGGGGGGGGGGGGGGGGGGGTGGTGGGGGGTTGGGGCTGACATTCAGGCAGTGCTATTGGAACTACTCCATCACAAAACAAGTGCCCCCCAAAAACATTGCTGGTTTGTTCAAAAGCGAACGCCGAAATATCTTGTAGTGAGACCAGTGAGACCATGGAGTGTACCCCCTTGAGCCCAATCCCCCAACCCTCAGCCCTGAATCACCGAACTCTAGACCCTAAACCCTAAACCAAACTCTGGACCACCCCTAAACCCCTCAACCCCTCAACCCTTACACCCTAAACACTACACCCCCAGCCCAAAACGGCCACGAACAACTCTCTAACTACCCCTCCCCCCTCTCTCGGGTTAGTTTAGGGTCGAGGTTTTGGGGCTTAGGGGTCTTGGGGTTTAGGGTCTTAGGGTCCTAGGGTTTAGGATTTGAGGGTTGAGGGTTGAGGGTTGAGGGTTGAGGGTTTAGGGTTTAGGGTTTAGGGTTTAGGGTGGGTTTAGGACTTGAGGCCGTGCGCCCTCGGCTCGCCTCGCTGGCTTCGAACAGCTCCATCTTGCTGCCCGAGCGCTAGTCACAGCAAGAACCTCGGGTTCTGGATTGGTTTGGGAGTTTAGGGTTTAGGGTTTAGGGTTCAGGGTTTAGGGTTTAGGGCTTAGGGTTCAGGGTTTAGGGTTGTAGGGTGTTAGGGGTTTAGGGTTTAGGGTTGTAGGGTGTTAGGGGTTTAGGTTTTAGGGTTTTCGGGTTTTAGGGGTGTAGGGTTTTGTGGGCTTAGGGTTTTGGGGCTCTACTGTGGGCTTCAAGGCTTTGGATGTAGGAGTAGTAGGGCAAGGGTTGTAGATTAGAGGGATCTAGGATGTTGCGGGGTCATGTGGGTTCTCAGTCAGCAGGGTTTAGAGTGTAAGGTTGCAGCTATAGAATTCAGACGTGCAGGGCCGCTTGCCGTACTACAGGGCTGCAGTGTACAGGGTCAAAGGACACAGAAATATTCTGATGCTGCGATTGACTTCCGACCAGATGCAGGATTGTAGTCCGCCTCGAAGACACGCAGTCGGGAAGCTGCTGTCAGTCTGAGACCGCAACCTCCTGCGACCTTTGGAAGGAGAAATATACCTTTACCGCGCCGTCGGCATTGAAACCAGGCGCAGCTCGACATGCTGCCGTCTAAGCGCGGGATCGCCAAGTGCTTCCTGTGGCACAAGTCTGCAACAGGGTCCCGCACGCCTGCGTGCGCAGAAACCACGACGCTCTTTGGACCCCTCTCGAGTCCGTGCGGCTCTAAGGGTGTAAGGTTCTGGGTTGGCATAAAGAGTTCTGGGCTTGGGTTCAGGTTTGCGTAAAGAGTTCAGGGTTTGGGTTCAGGGGGTTTAGGATGTCGGCTTCAGGTTTAGGGTTTAGGGTTCAGAAATCCTGCACCTGTAACTAAACCCTGAAACCCTCAAGCCTCTAACTTTCACCCTGAAGCTCTGAAACCCTGATGCCTTCTAAGTTCCCAATGTAAACTCTGAAGCCCTCTTCCCTGTAGATCAGGAGGAAACAGTTGCAACCACGTAGTTTCAAACTGGGGAGCAGCTTGCAAAGAGATGCCAACTTCGACAGAAAGACGGCTAACGCCCATCCTAATTGACGACAACAGAACGACAAACAAAAAGTGGGGTTAGGGTTTAGGGTTTAGGGTTTAGGGTTTAGGGTTTAGGTGCCAGTCTTGCACGAACAGAGCTGTAATCAAACGCTTTTCCGAAGCTTCCTTTGAGAGGCAAAGAAGACCGAAACGTCTGCCAACATCCGACGCTGGCCGGTGTTTCTGAGGTAACCCTTATCCCGAAACCACGGACGGCTCAGCACCATGGGAATACGCCCTAAACTCTAAACCCTAAACCCTAAACCCTAACCCTAAACCCTAAACCCTAAACACCCCAACATCCCCAACACGGACAAAAGCTCTTGGCTCTCAGGAGACGGCTAGTGACGGGAGGCTGCATTTGTCCTCTGAAGGGACCCGTACTTCTGCGCTGGTGCCAAAATGGCTGAGAAGGGGTTTGTGGGTTTAGGAGTCCAACCCAACTGCCCATAAACCCTAAACCCTGAGCCCTAAACCCTGAAACCTAAACCCTGAACCCTGAACCCTAAACCCTAAACCCTAAGCCCTAAGCCCTAAGCCCTAAGCCCTAAGCCCTAAGCCCTAAGCCCTAAGCCCTAAGCCCTAAACCCTAAACCCTAACCCAACAAAACAGACCCAAATTCGGCTTCCACAGGACAGGGCACACAAATGTTTTGCAAGCACCTTCCTTGAAGGGTCCACTTTCAGTACTATTCTGGATTTAGTTCCCCAAATGCTCTACATGGTATGGATTTGGCCCTCGG